ATTTCATAGAAGATTAATTTGGATAAAACCATTTACTGTATGTCTCAAACACAATATATAACCATTGAACTGTGCGATAAAAGAGGCAGCAAACATTGGGAGAGCACGTTAACACCAAATTTAGATCCTCGTGATAACTAGTATTTGTAAGGAACTGTGCCTTTACAAATAATAGGAAAATATTCACCTGTTATTGAATTTCATATGTTATTGAAGTGTCTAAACTAAAGATATTTCACAATATATGCAGTCTTAATGCAGAGAAAAAACATTAACAGTCAAATACTGATTGATGTAAAATACATATCCTTAGCTTGTGAAGATTATTTGATTTATACAGGGAAGGAACTGGATGGATGGGTGGATGTTTTACTACGACCACTAAAACTGAATGTTTACAGGATAACATTTAAAGGGATTTATGTGGGGGTATATCTTCAAGATAGTCTGAATACCTTACCACTGTAGTTGTGAAGTTATTCAAATAAAACTTTGTGGGAGTTATTCTGAGCAGAACTTGATAAAGTATTATATCAGGGGGGATGGTGGAAGCCCAACTCAATCAGACGTAACAGCGGGGCTCGCTGGTGTGTTTATGGAACGGACCCAAAAGCAGACATGAAAGAAAGGAAGTGACAATAAACAAAAAGCGAGCCTTTATTACGGGCGATACAAAACAGAAAAATGGGGCAAGGCGGAAAACTAAAACCTAAACTGGGAAAACTAAAACTAACTATCAAAATGATGACAAAAGACAAGAACATGAAACTGAAGGGGAACATGCGAAAACGTAAATGTGAAATAATCCCAACATGAGTATTAATATGTACCTGAATAGTAGAAAGCAGAAACTCTGTGACATAATGTGACTTGACATAAGGACAAACAGACGACCTAATGCTGAACACAGGAAGACAGACGACTTAAATACACAGTAATGAGAAGAAACACCTGGGGAGACACAGCTGACACAAATGAACCTGATGCCAAAGGGAAAAGTAAAACTAAACACGCTGGACATGGAAACACCAGACTCTTCAAAATAAGATAGGAAACATGGAGAGACGTGGACATGACAACACAGGCAAGAAACACATGACAGCCTGGGGACTTGAAAGCACGGGCATAACTGAAAGTAAAACAGAGGACAAGACAGACTTACACAGAAGACAGGAAAGACACGTAAACAGGAGACATGGACAAACCAAAAACTAGAATAAAACTAATAAATAAATAAAATAAGATTAGCTATGGCAAAAGAAGTAGTGAGTATGAGGTCTCTGTAATTACTAAGTTGGTCATTCTTACTTGTAGTCCGAGGGCAGGAAGTGAGGAGGTCAGTCTGCTGGCAGACACACTTCCAGAGTAGGAATAAGAAGTACAGCAGAGAGTGGGTGGG